TTGACGTACCGAAGAAATAAGTTTCTGTAGTACATTACATGTCGTTGGTTAATATTGTCCTGCACTATTGTTCTAACGACACTGATTTAGGCGATGTGGTATTTTTGTCATAACAGACTGAATGACATCCGTCTGATTTTGCAAACAAACAAGATCATTTCACAACCCCATTATAATCTTACTCTCTTTTTGTTATCTTCTAATGTAAAAACTTGCTCATACCCGGTGTCTTTTATAATTGTGTCAAAACCTGACCACCGCCAATTGGATACTTCGTTTTTGTACGGTCATATGTGTCTGTTTCACAGCTATCAAATACGTGTAATATACACAGGTGACGTGATAAACTCTCACAGGTTCCCTTAAACACAGTTTTGTTTACACATATTTGATTTTGACTATAGGAATGTTTACATTTCCTCTGCTGTCAACTCTATTATATAAATAAAGGTTGGTTGATATTATTGATAATAACATGATTTATTATTATTTTTGCAAGTCCATTGCTGATAATCTCACAGCTGTTATTATAAGTTCATCCATTAACAATAATCTGTGCATTGTATTATATTTCAAGTGCATGCAAGTTAGTGGTTCATAATTAAAGGAGAATTACTATGTCCTAAAAATTATTTAGGAGGCACGGTAGTCTGGCGATAGGACGCCGGGCTCGTGACTGAGGGGTTGCGGGTTCGAGTCAAGGCACGGCAATGTGTTGTATCTTTGAGCAAGATACTTTACTCCGCTTGTTCCAGTCTACTGAGCTGTAAATGAGTACGTGGTTGAGCAGTGCTAGAATTGTTGAATGCTAGCTGTAAACGCCGAAATGGCAGCTCTGGCTGTATGCTCCAAAGGGAGTTGAGAAAGATATTGGCTGGTTGCAAAGGTCCTATAACTACGGATAATAATTTGTGAACCGCTTTGAGACGACCTACGAACAAGGTTGTGATAAAGCGGTATATGACAACCTCGAATTATTATTATTATTATTATTATTATTAAATGTTATATGGATGTTAGTTTCTTGTCAAATTAAATTATCATGGCCTCAAAAGGTTCCCCTTGGTTAAAAGTTAAGAACCATAACTCCAACAGGTTAATGATGACAATCAACTAGCACCACTAATTAGGTTTGTTATCCGATAGTTGCAGGTTTTATATCCAGTTTCCCAGGTGGAGCTAGTTACAATTTAATGGTAATGAACGCAAGGTAAGACAAGTGATTTCACTCTAGTTAACTTGGTTTGCATTCACTGGTCAATACTACGGACTCGAAATGATTTTACCTGTGACCTGGAAAAGAAATGAAGTCACAATGTTTTGCATCATCTCACTTAATGTGTATTTTAATAACGACATCATTATGCACGTTTTCTTGTCGAGAACAAAGTGTCGAAGTTGCTTCCCGTACACCATAATGCTATTTTAACGTCCTGTCTTCTGATAGAATAATTTCTTATTTATGTCCCGAACTTTACAAGATACAACTGGTACAAGCTGATGAGGACATTACATCAGGTTCTCAAAGCTTATGAATTTAACGGCAAGATTGTAATTCTTTGAAAAAGATCTCACACCACAATAATGTTTAGTTGATGTCACATTGATTTCAATGGCCCTATAACGTTTCCGTATAGGATACACATACTGAAGGCATTATGTCCTAAAAACCAACTTAACGTCTTTGGTCATATCTATCCCGAGAGATCTTAATATATAATTTTAAAGTTTAAAGACTTAAAATCGAAGTGTTCTGTATCACATATTGAAAAACAGCGAAAGGTGACATGTGACTTAAAAACCTTTTATAAACTTATAACTTTAGACTACAATGAATTATTTATTCTTTAGCTAGTATTTCCATATACATTCCAGCTACAAAGTAAAGACTAACCTTAAGTACGGATGACCTTCCAGTTACTTAAAATAATCACTAGCAATATGAAGTAAGGGGTCACCTCTTTAAAAAATTAAAAATAAAATACGAAAGTCGAACAAAATTAACATAGGTGGCAGATTGGTCTTTTGTGAATATGCATTGTTTGATTAAGAAATGTCAAAATTTGAAAACCAATGACTAATTGACGTGAAAATAGACAACAGCATATTGTACCGAGAAGCGCGTGGTTATCTTACATGCATTATGGATTGATAATCACTGTGGTTTTGGCGTTAAGTGCCGTTTTAATGTTAGACGTCATAATGAATGTACTAGTAGGCAGGTCGCCCTGTGGGGACATGCTCTGATGTCTTGTGTCGGCTGACCTGACATTACATCACCGCCAGGCAAGCACAACGACCACTGGCCTGTAACATATAATAGATCAGTCAGCACACACAGAACAATTCATAGAAATCACGAAATCACTCGTGCGGAAATCCACTCTCGAAAAGCTATATTTGATACGTTCATATTTACATGGTGTTAATATTAGTGTTACTCGCTGGCGTTTGATAGGGATTAGTAGACACTTTATACATATTCTGTATAAACATATTGCTGAAAAATAATACAAACATGATCAGTCATCTGACATGCACGATTTGTTACATTTTTGTGAATACAATATCAATGCTACTTATCAGTACGAATGGCTTATTTGTTTTCAATTTTAAAGCTAAATAACACGAGTCAGCTTATTTCTACCACAATGTTATATGATATTGTCAAGTGATCGACAACTTTGTTTTATAAACGATAATTTGTTAATGCTGATGGGTTTGCCTATTAATGTGAAAATGTGAAAAAGATATATTATCATTTCGAACATCTGTACATCTATATTAATTATATCTTATAAATATATAAGATATCTTATAAGCATGGTTTTGGTGTGAGACTTTTGCCGAGCGAAGGGAGTCTGTTAGGGTGGTCCGGGGGTTCACCGCTGATACGGTGTCTGTGTAACGGAGGTGAACGAAATCAAAGGACATCTATCTTCAACCCGTCACACTCAATACACCATGAGTTAACTAATCAAAGTGAAGAAAAACGTTAATCAACCGTTTCAAACACACTTATGTTTAAACAAAACTTCTACTGTTTAATTGACGCCAGGGAATTGCTAAACAGGGACAAATGGGAGAAGAATAAAGGAATATATACCAAACTAAATCAGTCATTCGTTTCAGGGCTATTTTCATATGCTTTATGCGCGTAACAAACCTCAACTGGAGGATATTCTACTATGCGTATAACACATTTAAAATAAGTTTTGTTGTTACTTGTAGTTTGTAATTTTGTAATTTAGTGAACAACCTTATATATAATATAATTTATTATCAAATGGTCATGCAGGGGATAAAGGATGTTTTTTCTCTTTCAAATCTACCAATATCATAATTCATGGTTACTCGATTTAAAAAAAATCACAATAATGTTTGTTGAAAATATGTCTTTTTGATAACACCATAGTTATAGGCACGCAGCATTTAAAAAGTTTGCCAGTCAGGTGTCCTTACCAAAAAAAACAAACCCACAAGGTCGTAAATATCTTTCTAATTTTGAAAACCGATATTTGCAATAACAATAAAAAAAGTTGGCATAATAAAAAAAGGAAACATAAGAGGACATAAACATACAATGATCCTATTACATATTCTCTCGGTGTTGAACACGTTACAGAAATATGAAAATAACTTTTGTTTTTTTATTAAAGACGATTATTATTTCATACGACCAATTAATTACAGCCAAGGCACAAACACTTATTGGTCACGAACAGTACAATATGCCAAATATAAACCCTTTAAGGTCAATTCAGCCTCCTAAAAGAGGCTATAGTCACCCTAAAGTCCAATCCCCTGATAGGTTATATTCAAATGCCCAAAGGAAAGATCAGAACTTATATATGTTGATTGGATATAATGAACTTGTACATAAGCTATCAAAATGTTCCATAGCGAGGTTAACGTAGTCAATAATAAGACATGGAGGCTGATGCGTTTATAAAAATAGTTCACCGGATTTATAACATGTCATTCTCTTAAACAACCCAAATGTTTATTATGAAATGACATATAATCTGAAGTTCATATATATTCCTAGGTCATCCGGAGGTTAATTTCTCTTTTACTAGCTGTAGAGAGGGTTTCTAGTCTCAAAATAAGATAGATCTTTCCATGCGAAACTACTTATATCATAGTAAACTTCGCTTGTAGTATATTTTAGCAGATTATAAACAAGAAAGCAAATGCTTCGTTACCAAAATCAATAGGTTACCTTTAGAGGATGTGCCATTTCTCAACTGTCTGTGATGTTATGAATTGTGCTTGACATGTTATAAACAATGAAACTGAAAAGTGCGCTAATGTTTCTAATATGTCTAGCATTTTTATAGCAACATTAAACGTCACGAAAGGACCTCAAAACAGTCACAATACCCTTGGTGCTACATAAAAACACCGGTAAACTATGTTACTTGGACATTTTACTATGGTTTTCATGCATTTCCATTGCAACAATCATCTACTCTGAAGGCCAGTGAGCCTCTCCACGGCTAGTTTAAGGGAAATTAAGATCCGCATAACCTAGGTTTAATAATAAACTTTCATTGGGTCGGAATTAAGTGCGACTATAGCCTCTTTCAGGAAGCTTGTTGAACCTCAATATTTAAAAGTGTATGAAATATTAAACCATATTGATCACGATGGTTTTAATTATAAAACTCACGATACAATTCAGGAAATCAAATATAAAATTTGTAGTATTTGCTTTTTATTTCTTCTGTGTATCTATTAGGACAAGGTGTAAGAATAACTGAGGAAACAGTGAATTTTACTATATATTCCTGTTGTAACGCATTGGAATATCTTATAAAATACGTAAACGTCAAATACAAGATACTGTTTCATATAACATGTATATTGTTATATACACTGAACGTGAGTAAAGCTATGCTTGTCAATCTACCGACATAGCTTCTGACAACCTTGTTGGCAAACCACATTGTATGTACAACCGCGAGATAAAGTGTTTCCCGAGGTCATTCACTGACCTCTGTCCATATGATGACATGGTACCGTTAGCTACTCACCGTAACGCATTGTCACTTGCATTACCTGAAATAAAACAGCCATAAAACACCTTAATTAAAAAACAAATGCATTTAATCCAATATCATATAATAGAATGCACTGAAGCAAAATCAACCTTTAGGAAAACAATTTCAGAGAAATCAGTGATACATTGATAAAGTATAAATGATATGAGGGTTAGACAGCGGTGTATTCATACCTATGATATAGGCATCGGTTAGTGTGTAGCATGCTGACTGAGACCGGCACTTCCTGTAACAACGACGCTGTAAACAAGACGGACACCGGTAATGTTCTGACATCAAAGTGCACACCATCTATGTTCCGCACTCTATTGAACTGGTCTGGATTAGCAAATTGATACAACAAAAAGGTAAGTGAATTGTTTTAAAATATCAAACACCACGTTGTCTTAGCGGGAACCTAAAGGCAATATGGTTGTACACATCTAGTGCCCAGTGTGTGATCAATTGAACCTATGTGCAGTTTGTAGATATATACTTAATCGTACACTCATTTTATCAATCATCGAAATCAAAATTACATTGCTGTTGTGAAATAATCTCTTTGTGAAGATTTATTATTTGATTGTAAAAGATTAACCGTCTCATTATGCAATTATCTATTCCACTGCATTTCCTTTTCGCTTCTGAAATATGTATATGTAGACAATTTGAACATGTCAGTGGCTTTTTGTGCTTTTAACTTTGACATTTTCAAACCACATATCCCAAGAAAATATCTCTGATCCAGAGAAATGATCATTAATCTTGAAGACTACAGCAGACATTTGACTGACCAGAAACACACAGACTACACATGTAACTGAATATCTGCAATGTTTTTTTCTAGATACATATACATATACATCCCTCGGCCTTTGCTTGGGGCAGATACTGGCGTGTAAGAAGCTATTGCATATGTTTATAGCTGTTCGGTAGCCCCTCTAAATACATACAGACAAAAAGCAATACTGTTGTCACGTGTCCTTATATAAAAAATCTTTTTACTGAGAAATGTTCAGCACATTTTACTTTTCGATGACGAATGTTTCTACAAGTATTACAGTTATAGTGTTTCTGTTAAGGGCGAAATTATTTACTCCTAACGAATGCAAATTTAACGGTGATGGAAGAACATTCCATCCGGTATAAAGTAAAATTAATTTGCCATCTTTATATAAGACTAGACTTTTAAAAGAATTTCTTTTGGGTTCAATGACGTGACTAAAATCCAAATGTGAATGTAACACAGCATAAACACGTGACGTTACGATATATCATATTCATATCATAATGTTTTAACGATTTAGCACATGATGATACGTTAGACGATATGTTATAACATGCTAATATTTTGTGACGATATGTCACTTGATATGGTTTAGCAATATGTCACATGCTTATATTTTGTGACGATGTCACATGATATGTTGTAGTGAAATGTCTTATGATAATATTTTGTGACGATATCTCACTTGATATGTTGTAGCGATATGTCGCATGATAATATTTTGTGAGATTTGTCACTTGATGGGTGATAGCGTTATGTCACGGGATAATATTGTTACGATATGTCACTTGATATGTTGTAGCGACATGTCTTATGATAATATTTGGTTTGATATGTCACTTGATATGTTGTAGCGATATGGCACAGGAAAATATTGTCACGATATGTCACTTGATGGGTAGTAGCGACATGTCATCTGATAATATTTGGTGCGATATGTCATCTGATAATATTTGGTGAGATACGTCACTTGATATGTTGTAGCGATATGTAACAGGATAATTTTGTGAGACATGTCACTTGCTATGGTATAGCAATATATCACATGTAAATATTTTGTGAGACATGTCACCTTTTAATATGCTTGAATGATATCTTCATAAGAACTGTAATTTGTTTTAACGAAAAGCCAAAAGATAATGTATTGTAACGAAATATTTCCCATGTTTACTTACTTAAGATACACGTTTCTCTCACCGTTCCTAGAATGATCTCCAGTTTTTCTTGTTCAGAATTCTCCTGAAAATCGCTAAGGTTTGACAGACAGCCCGTGGAAAGGAACCCTGATATGAGGTCAAGGGAGCATAAAAAAGTGTCATCACAATCAGCTCTCGACAGGAGAGGTCATGTGCAAATCAGGATAATTAAAATAGAATACTGTTACAAAATCTGATACGTATTGTTGAAAGGATAGGAGAAATTGGAGTCATCCCCTACGGCAAGGGTATACCACAAAAATATGATCCATATGAGTGAGATTTTTAATGTCAGCCACCAATCAACAATATCACCCCTCTAGTTGAGATTTCTCTGCTATACACAGAAGGCAGGAAAGCCTCGATGTAAGTCCCATACGGACTACCTATATGGGTGCACGCAGTGACCTTTACTGTCATCATATCACATACACGTATAACGTCAAAATTGAAAGTCTTTCAAACGGTGATGTTCTTGTTAAAATATTCCATACCATGATTTATATCTAACCAAATTGTCTGCAACCTGGGCCAGATTGATTAATTTAGATTACCATGCAGTGTCATAAACGCACCTATGAAGGACCACTGTGTACTAACCAATTTCTGCATACCATGATTTTCCTCTGTGCTGATATTGGTTGATCATACATGTATAACTTAAATGACTTTCTAGAATTACTAATATACCGATGCTCACACAAAATTAGTTACAATATGACAAATTAATTACAATTAACATCTAATCGTCACAGAAGCTTATTCTTAAAAAGTTATCGTTTAAACAAGGTGTTTTGCCAGCAATAATACAAAATTAAAATCAGACAGTGATGAACATGTACGGAGTACACTAGATTGATGGATAAGAGTAACACGTAACAAGCCCATATCTGTTCCCTCATGTCGTCCGTATTCCCCCACAATAACGTACTACTATAGTAATTGATCGCCACTAAAGAACAATCAAAGACCCACCTGTGTTAAGTGAGCAATGATGATAAATTATGGTTGTCCAAAGGTGATTACTTCCCCACAAAGTGAAATAATCTAAAGTGTGGAACGAACTGTACGAAACATCACAGTTTAAGTAGGTCTTAAATGTCAGAGTTGTGTAGATTATATAAGTGATTGTATGATCTTTGTGGAATGTTTCAGAAAAACAAGAAAATTAACAAGATGGCTTACAGGATGGTAGTGTCCTTGTTAATCGCCATCGTGTCTCTACTTGTTGTTACTGATGGTAAGTATATTTTTATTTGGTGTAAAAATATTGCTCCCAATAACAAAGACCTTCACCTAAGAATGTATGTTATCTACAGGAGTTAGGTAAAGCGGCTCTCAGCGTCAAGGGAAGCTTGTGTCATACCTCTAAATAGGGTCTGGAAATAACTGCTTACCTACCTTGTATCCTCCTGGCTGGTCGTTGGCGAGTGTATTGATTGTCCGGTTCAACTTGTTTATACTAATGTGAAGCTTTATCAAACAATCATAAGAAGTTAATGCATATCTTAAAATATCTTACGGAAGATAAGTAAATGTTCGTCAATATAAATCTTTTTTCATGCTTGGCCCTTTATATACACGGGGTAATATGGTAAACATGATATTTCTCGGAGTAACATTGATTCAAAACGGCAAATATTTCTAGTTAAATTTCACTTAAAACCATAAATCATGGAAACTACAAATGTGTTATTGCCAAAGCGTTTTTAATGTTAATGAAAGTTTTACACTGCTTCATGCATTTGTCACTATAATTGTACAATATTCCATTCTCAGCTCAATTTGGAATTCCCGTGGGCCCTCTCGAGGAAGTATCACCGTCAGAATTTGAACGAATGAGAGGAGGAATAACTCCAGTACAGCAACAGCGAGCACTTGGTCGGGGTATTCTAATGGGAAGGCGTCAATTCAATACGGTACCGTCTCGTTTTGCACAACAACGTCTTATGCTTAGGCCTGGTCAAATGCAATTTCGTCTTAATACAGGCATTCCACCTGTATTTCCGACTCAGTTTAACACGAATGCTTTAGCTAGACGTGCCACTGCCCAGAACCAAGCCGGTATGGTTGTTCCCTCTTTTAATAGAAATAACATGCGGATAGTGCCGATGGGAAATCCGATAAGAACATCCAGGCAACAACAATTCCAACAAGAGGCAATAAGGCGGTCACAGTTTGCTCAACGTTTTCGACCATTCTTTAACGCAACCCCATCGAGATTTGGAGTAGCGACCGTTCAGCAAGCGAATTCAATCCTACAGACCAGGCAACAACCAGTAATTCAACAAGCTTCAACGGTCGATTTGAGTAGATTTCCAAATTTTGGAACAAACAATGGCAATGAAATGGGCAATCAGCTTATTAATCAATTGATGTCTTTTCAACAAATTTCCGCGGATCTTCCAGGTCAAAGTGGAGTTCAACAGCAACTGGTACCAAGAGTAATGCCAGTACAATTACCTGCAGATCAGCAATTTTTAAACAACATGTTAATTCAGCCTGTCGCACAGTTTCCAAACACTCAAGGACAGTTTCAGACGGGTCAAGGCGTGCGTTCCACACAAACTGTCCAACAGTTGACAGGAAACAATATTGTTACACCTACTTTTTCAAATAATTTGCCTGTCCCTCAACTACCCTTTACATCGGCACAAGGAATCAATTCACAAGGACAAAGCACCGTTACAGTTCCCATGGCTTCTTCAGGAATCAACCCACCGCAGTGGTCGTTCCAATCAGGTAACACACCAGCAGTTATTGGTGGACAGGATGCATCACAAATTCTACAGACATTACCACAAACAGGTTCGAGTGTTGAAAATAATCAGATGTTTACAGGCCTGTCTAATCAGGGTATCACAGATCCATCTGGTCAGGTTTTCAATAACCAAGGTGCCATAAATCCAACTGCTGCTTCGCCGTCCTCACAAACCACCGGTGATAATACGCCTGTTCAATTTGATGAACAAATAACGATGTTCCATCCAATCACTCAGGAAATGTGCTACCGAGGACGAAATCTTTCGCCCGATCTCGAGAAGTGGATTGTAAACATTTTGACAATGAGGGCTCAAAGACCTGGCGGTGATGTACTTTGTCGGAATCGAGATAGCTACACTATAACAGAAATAATAGAGATGGAAAAAGAATTATTAGCCTTAGGTATTGACCCTCACAATCCAGCAGCGTTCAAACTACAACCAGAAATAGTAGACATGACTGGTAATGGAGTCCGTACTGGAACTGCTGCATCCTCTAACACGGCACCTAGCACAGGATTACCCATTCCTCCTGCTGACGTTCTGGTTGCTTTTTCAACTCCAACACAAGGTAAGTATCGACGATAGAAATTGTTACTATTCCTTATGTATTGAAGAATTTTGAGATAAGATGAATGTGCCAATTTAGAGCGACAATAATGTGTAACACATATATATAATTCAACATACAAATCTAACAATATAAAAGCACCAATACAACATCAAATGAATAGTTATCTTCTAGAAAACGAGTTAAAACCCCTTGACGATGTTTGAAATCGATTGTTTAATTTGAAGTCGTCGTGTACTTTTTTTACTTTCAATTTACCTTGTGAATTTGGAGTTCAAATTATGCTTTCAAACATATATGTAACCGTCTCTAAAACAGAGATTGAATTGTTCGATTTTTTAGGTAAAGTGTTGTTGCACTAAGTGACATTTACATTCATATTGAATTACTTGCTGTTCTAGAAGTGTCACCTCTGAGATGGATACTCATATCTATTAAAAGGTCTTTAATTATTTTAAGATCCTTTAAACGATCTCGGTTTTGAAACACGATGTCCATGTGGATGTATAATTTTCTGTTGCAAACACATGTATTTTGGTCTAGTTGTGTGAAAGAACGTGTAAAAGTTTGGGTAGTACTTTATTTAAATGTACATTCGTTTGAATGTAATTATAAAAGATGTGTTAAAGTTAATGTGATTATATGAATAAATGGAATATATGAATATGCATGTCTGGGTAACATCCTTGCAGGTCGGGCATTAAGCGTTATTTCCTGCTGTATGTTGTAAGAGGTAACACATGGGGAACCTCCTGCAGAATTGGGGGTTTGCTTTTGTGTCCTCTACTAGGGGACATAAAAGCTACCAAAACAAATCTGCTGCATCCATTGCAACATTAGGGATCTTTATATTTGCTCTCAACTTCCTAACAACCTTTTCGTTCCCTACACCCATTGCTTTGCAACGTCTCACTTTTGGCCTAAGTAGTTGTTATTCCCTGCTAAATGTTCTTCAGATAGAGTGTTCGGAACACCGATTAACACACATACACGCTTACATTACACACGTTGAGGTACGTCCTTAAACGACCTTAGCTGTTTCTAGGACTGCTAATACCATATAATTTAAACCAAACCATACCACTTTTGAATATATGTGTACACTTCTGTAATTTGGTGTACGACTGTATATATATGCGTCTATGTATGTGTGGATATAGTTGAGTGTGTGTGTGGATATGTGTGTAAACGTGTGTAGATGCATTAGTGTTTATGTGTGTGCGGGATGTGTGTACGTGTACATTTTGTGATCCACATATTTATGGGTCAGTAATGTGGTATCATATGTGGTGTGATATATGGGAGACTTGCAGTAAATATCTCCTTGTATGGCAGGTCCTTACACAATTGTGTTTTGATAAGAAATAGTGAATACAAAACAATATGTAATAACTCACTGTTGAAATTACCATGAACAAATCCTTTAAAGTCTTTTTATACTTCTTTTGAAAGGAGGTGTTTAAGTGCAACACAGGCGTATTACATATATCAACACGCGTTAATTGAGACCTTCACTATACACACGCGCATGGTGGTTCTGTTGACTTCTGATTTAACATCCGATAATCGTCCAATACACTTCAGCATTTTTGTTATATTCGTATGAAGTATTCCACACTAGAAAACACGGCTGGAAAAGCTGCGTATGTACTACATACAATTGTTGCGTATCTTTTAAATCTTTATCGTAAAAGAAATATTTCATTCAATCTTTTGTACTATTTTCAGGATCTTTACAAAGCAGATCGTAATATCTCAGGTAAGATATCACATTTATCAATGGAATATTACATTTTGTCAGCAACTGATTTATTCTATATCATTAAATTTATAATATGCTCCTAGCTTTGACTTGTATTACCTTAATTTAAGACAGGATGTTGATAAAATGGCAAGGATAACATCGATGTATATTACCTCTTGCCTATATTTAATTTCCTTAATTAAACAAAATGTTTGTTAATATTCTCTAAAATCTATAATATAATCAATCATTTATTTTCAGATGGTAGACATTCCTAGATTATTTGGGTCGTTCTTTTTGCCGATCCTCAACTGAAGAACCACACAATGGACTTTTGTCTCAAAAGTGCGTCAACATATACAGGTCAATTAGCATGACTTTAATAGTATCTTGTCAAATAGAAAATAGGAACAATGCACACATTTCCTGCATCACTGTTCGGATTGCTCAACTCATGACTCAAAAAGTTGTTGTTTTGATGAATACCATTTCATTTTCGTATGCAGATTGGGAACCAAGAACATTTCAAAACAAAATCAAAGACTTTATGAATGCCTTCAAATTCAAGAAGATAAAGCAGATATGTAATATCAGAGGCTACTTGTTACCTACATCACAAGTGATATTCCTAATGATATTTCTGACAAGTCCAGGAAGGTGTGTCGGACGCTAACGATTTAACATACAGTAAATATGTCTAAAATCACGAAAAACGCTGAAAACCGGAACATTTGTCATGGTAACGACAGAAAAAGATTTTTAAGTGTAAAAGAAGATTCTCCGGTAGATTCTCCTGGCTATGGATTATATTGGTCCTCTATCATGAAACAAAGGAAAATTAGAACAGACTCTTCGGTAACGAATCAATTGTGACAGTATTTGGTATGAGTTGGTGAATTGAAAATATTTTTATTATCAGAATGCAAAGTGAAAAGAATAAATAACAAAACAACTAGAAAATTTCAAACGACAACAACGTTAATAACAAGAATATTCTTGTTATTAATCCAGTCATAATATGTTAGTACTTTAAAATAGATGTTAACAAATACAATGTACCTATATCTGCATGAAAAATTAATAATGATTCTTATCCATGATTACTTCATCCATAATGGAGAATAGTAGATAAATTTGTCTTGTAGTTTCTATATAGTTATTGTCCCATGGACTTATTTTTCATATACCCTCATTTAAATTTGGCCAACATACATTGATATTCACATATATACCACATTTGTTATTTGGTTTATTTAACCATGGAGTATGACCCCTGTTCATAATTGATTTAACGAAAATGATAGTTAAAAGCATTCTTTTTTCATGTAGTTCTTATTCATTGTTCGTGTAGAAATATTACATTGTATTCAATAAATATTTATTTCTCTCTTATTTCATTGTATGTTTATTTTTTCCTGAATCTATTTATAAAAAGAACTATTTTAATTAAAACATAAAATAGTGTGATACTTCTTTTTTATTTCAACAATTCCCATTTTGTCTTCCATTTTATACATCGATGTACCAGGTCATGATGTTTTATACATGGATACAAAATGAATATACTTCAAAATATATAATGTTGTCTTAACTTGTGTATAGTCCATTCTTACACATACGTATACCTATTTAACGTTTTGATTAATATAACTGACAACATAAAAACCGCTATGTGTTGAAATAGTTCGACTAGAAATATATTTTAATCAATTTAATCACTTAGTATGATTTATTCATCTTTAATTTATCTTTCAAGTTTCATTTCGTTGATGGTACTTACGTAAAAATCAGAACGCCTTTAATACCGATAACATTGGCAAACATCAGTGAGAGCTCTTCTATAATTTTAAAAAAAACATTGAAAAAATAACTTTTCACAAAAGATAACATATTTCTCTTAGCTATGTGCTTTCTATTCATTGTTTTGATCACGTAATTGTTTCTTGGTGGTTTTTTTATCAATACTGTTTTTAAGAAAACCAATTACTTTTAAATTATTCACTCTTTGATCATTAAATGTTTTAAATGCTTGTTCTTTCACTCATTGGTATACATTCTCATTAATAAATATATATCTATATGAGATATCACAATGTGTATACAAATGTATTTTAAAATTCATTTTAAGTAAATTGATACACCTTACGTGCTGTACCGAATATAACCTGTTCCGAATATAACCTGTTCCGAATTATATACTGCGTCACAAACTACAAATAATAAGAGGATCATGCCCGGTATTAAATCTGTTTCAAATAGTAACAAGCTGAGCAGACTTTTTTGGTCCTTTCTGAACGTAAGCTATTGCAACATACACAATAATTCCTATCGTGTTCTAGCCTCATGAATAGAAAATGAAAGTATGTATATATCGGGCAACAGCTTTCTAACGTATAAAACTCGGCTAGTTTCGATCTTAGCAAAATAACGTACTGCATAAGTTGATCATATAACTTCAGCATGACAGTGTAATATGAGTCATATCTGCAAATGTGATAGGATTGGAAGACGACTTCCTGAATAAAGGTTTTGTTCTTTCCTTAAAAAAAAAAAAAAAATGCAATTTCAGATCTCCATATATTAAATCCAGAATTGCGTGAAACGAACTTTTATCTATCTTCTAAAACAAGTTCTTAAAGAAACAAGGAATCTGCCTTATGGCTAAGTTTGTTTCGAACACAAACAGGAATTTAAAAGTTATTTTGCGAGCTTTCAAAAACGTCTGTTTCCTTTGTCAAACAAAGAGTGTAAATGAGTGAGTTGTTTTCAGCGGTTTAGAATCGAGTCACTGGTCATTTACACTCTTTGCTTGGTATTTATACCGAATTGTTCAATCCTATTCCGAGTAAAAGAATCTGCCTCTTCATTTTTATATCTAACGTTCCTATAGAATGACATATAGGATCACCTCAATGCTAAACGCAATATAAAATATGACCTAAAGTTTTACTTTTAGATAGTTCAAGTTCTTTATTAACTTTGAGTCTTGCGACTCATCAGTGTAACACATATACATGATATATATATATATATATATATACTTTCTCATAACATTGACAAATATCGAAAATACTAATAAATACACAGACGAGACAAAACACTCGGAGAGCATAACTACTTATGTTAATAAAGCTCTTCTTGAATTTGCAGCTTTAATGTATTTGGCCAATTTTGCTAATTCATTTGTGTTTTGTCCGTTAAATAACTGAATTAATTTAAACATGCTCGGTTTTTTACAATAGTACTTTTTTAAAAATTTCTCACGTAAATCAGAATAACAGGGGCATTTAAGAATAAAATGAAATTCATCTTCGACATCATCTATATCACAAGCGGTACAGATTCTTAAAAGTCGCGGAATATTTTGATAACGACCTTTCTCTACATTTAAATTATGGGCTGAAAGCCGAATTTTTGTTATTTCTTTTAAGTAACCTTTCATAAACGATTTTCTTAAATAACCCTGTATACCAACTTCTTTGTTAAGACATGTATAAAAAAATCCTTTTGATGATGTTCTAATTTGTTCTATACAATCTTGTCTATAAATATCTAAAAGTCTTTCTTTAATTATAATCAAACAGCTATTATCAATGTTATCTGTTTGCCATATGTAACCTAGACCTATTCTATATAATTCATTCTTGATATTAATTACCCATTTGTCGTTACGCACTAACATGTCTTCATAACATGATTTTAAAATGCAATTATCGGTATTTATAATCTTTATCCAATACTTAAAAATTCTGAATTTCCTCAGCAGTGATAATGGATATCTACCAAGCTCTAAATAAACCATAGCATTACAAGTATTTTTACGCACACCGAGTAATTTTTTACAAAACATAATATGTATTTTTTCAACATCCGGGGCTTTATGAAAACCCCATATTTCTGAACCGTAACACAAAATACTGTTTACATATGTATCAAATACTGATAGTTGGGTTTCAATATTAAAATAATTATTACGACATACATTCATAACTGAAAATAAAGCTTTCCTTCCTTGATCTGCTATTTTTTGCTGTGTTTTTCTGAAAGTGCCGTTGTAATTTAACAACATACCTAGATAATTAAATTCATTTACGATTTCCAAAGGACATCCGTTATATGTCCAATTTCCATTGTTTCTTAAAATACCACCATTTCTAAAAACCAGCACTTTTGTTTTATCTGTATTGACCGTTAGATCCCACTTTTTTGTAAATGCTTCTAAAGAATTTAACATGTCTTGCAAGCCTTCTGGTGTTTCCGAAAAAATTACCATGTCATCTGCGTACATCAGCAGGAACAGATTTAAAGTTTGAATTTCTATCGATGGACAGTTGTCAATTAAAAATTGCATCTCACAGTCATTTACATATAATGAAAACAATAATGGAGACAAAATTTCCCCTTGAAACAATCCGTTTACACAATTGAAGAAGTCAGATAATGAACCATTATACTTAACACAACATTTTACGTTATTATACAAAGACCTTATTAACACTAATAACTTTCCATCAATTCCTTCCCTTATTAATTTGAACCACATATTTTGTCGATTAATAAAATCAAATGCTTTTGTATAATCAATAAAACAACAATACAATCGTTTCTTATGTTTAAGACTCCGATTAATTATGGCCTGTAATGCAAATATAGCGTCTATAGTTGAAAGATTTTTTCTAAATCCAAATTGAGCGTCAGTTATCTTACTGTATTTCTTATCAAATGACATCAGTCTATTATTAATGATTGACGTAAAAAGTTTTCCCAAACAGCTAACTAGAGTAATACCTCTGTAATTATTAGTATTATTTGCATCTCCCTTCTTAAAGACAGGCACAATATTACCTTTAGACCATGTTTCCGGAAAGTGCCCGGATGTGAGTATATTGTTGAATAGAATAACTAAGCATGGCAATAAAACAGTCTTAAATTTAATCATGTATTCGTTTAAAATAAAAGATAATAACATTTTAGGTTCATTCGGACTTTTAGTGGACGTGTCACACTATGTGCGCATTCCAAAATTCTATTGTAAATATCAGGGTTTTCTAGATATACATCACACGAGTGTAAGATATATTAGCCAAACTCGTGAAATAAGTTTGGTAATACTGAAGACACTGTAAGATACTCTGTTTATTACATTTTCTTTACGAAAACTACCCTGGAACGCAAAGCGACACATCAAGCTGACAATACTTTATCTGTATTCTTTACCACTAGCATGTCTAGACAACGTTACGCGACAAAAAATAATCATCACTGCAAATATTGTATATAGTATAAAGTATGCAAAATTACTATTTTCATGTAATAATTTAATTAAAGTCACGTCATATCAACCAAGACCACTACGAGTTGTTGATAAGCGTCGAATTTTAAATGGTGGGACTTGAAAACACTGACGCTGTGTTTCATTTGACATGAGTTTCCTCAGATCAAACAGTTAGAATTGCTGACCTGCATAGTCTGCTGGCTTCCTTAAATGTTACAGCCATGACCCCATATCCATTCATTAAATCTCTGCCATAATTGAAGGCATGATCATTATACATATTAGATTGTTGATGACTGATTTACTTTCCTGGATTCGGCAGAAGACAACGAGCCAGGTGTTTTGTTTGATGCAAGAAACGCTTACCTTCTAGTGTAACCGGTTTCGTCTCCGAATTTCATGGATAAGTGTTTGCTCCGTTCCTATTTTTTTGTTTTGTTTATTGATATCTTTTCAGTTCCTGTTGTCATTTTTGTATTGGTGTCCTCTCAGTTCCCGTTGGCATTTTTGTATTGGTGTATCATCCTTGCTTGATTTTGTTTGTATTGGTGTCGCCTCATTTCCTGTTTTAGTCCTTTTCTATCGGTGTGTCCTCAGCTCCTGTTGTCACCTTGTATTGGTGTCCCTTCAGTTCTGTTCCTGTCTCTTTGTATTTGTGTCTTTTCAGTCATGCTGTTGTCTTTTTGAATTGGTGTATCCTCAGTTTTTTTTTCTTTTCACATAAGTTCATGTTGTTGTCTTTTTGTGTTTTGTGTTGTTCACTTTTCTGTTTTAATTTCTCGATCAAATGAAGCAAAACATAAAGAGAAATTATCAAATCATAAAGAAGAAATAAAATGTTAAGCATGCCTTTCAATTTCCTTCAATTTAATATTATTTAATACATAAATAAATTCGTCCAAATTAACGCAATATTTTCATTGCGGTAGGATAGGAATGCAGAATACATTTCTCCTCATTTCAAAACATGTTATTAAACTGTCCAGTTATATGTTTAATACACAAGAATGTTTGTAATAAATATATTTTCATGCAGACAATTCTGATAATTATATAAAACTATTAATGAATGAAGGGAGATTACTCTTAAAAACTCTTTTGTATAACGTAAAAGGTCGCGTGCACCCTTAAATAAGC